TTTGAGCTAAAAGAATGCAGCTAGTATTAGTACCATTTACCGAGAAAATGAAAATATGCACTTGTTCACCATTTAAAATACACGATTATGATGTAATAATGAAAACATGTGGCATCTGTTTAACTATGAAAACGCTCTCCATCGCTTTTCCGCAGCCTCATTCACGTTGAAAGTGACCTTGCTAACCGATTTGTACGCCTGTGAGCAGCGTGAAAACACTCAGTCGAGCGCGAGGCTTGTTTCACATTTTGCTGGCTTTCTTTACAACACAGAAAAACGAAATACACTAGACGTATTATCAGCGAAAAATTTCGTCAGTGGTTTCTGAAGATAACATACAACTCGCGCTCATACTTAAGTATTCAGCCAGCTGTGTAATTAAAATAATGAGTAATGGCAAGTTGAGAAAATCTAATAAAAATAAGATCATTTTCACGCTAGTGGGGCCAATTTCTCATATATTATATATATATATATATATATATATATATATATATATATATATATATATATATATATATATATATATATATATATATATATATGTGTGTGTGTGTTGCTCCACTATCTATATTCCTGCTTCTCTATATATAAATTTCTTTCAGTTTCGCACTCCTATATTTCTCTATTTTCTGCATCCTCTTTCTGTCCTTCATTTTCTTTCCAATTTTATTCCTACTCTTACATTCTATGCTGTACTCCCTCCCATCCTAATTTTCCTCTTCTCTTTACCCTCGCTTCTTTTCCAACCCCAAGTTAAAGTCAAGGCTATGTTGTGCAAGGCTATATTGTACAATGCTGTGTTGTACAAGGCTATGTTCTACTGTACCTGGACAGTACAGTGGTTGCAATGCTCCACTTAGGATCGTGGGTACACAGGTTTACATCCAGCCCTGTCAAGAATTTCTCTGTACTCGTTTATGACCCATTAGAGCTATTCCATTTCATGCGGGACAAATTGGTGCACGTGTTTTGGGAGCGAAGCCTAAAATAATGACAACAATAAACATAGAGCATGCACCGGTTCATGATGATGATTGCTTTCTGTTCGCAGATCACAGCCAAAGGCTGGCATGCTCCACCACCAAGTGTAGGCCAGTGCTAATAGTATGCATTGCGTCCAATTCACTTCCGCTGCATCAGTCACAAAGCACGGCGCAAGAGAACAGTCACTATGAAGAATTATGTGAATGCGAAAAAAAAAAAACCTTTCTGCAGCAGTAATATATATATACCTGTATTGTCTAGGGCAAGGCTCAGCACCTTCACATTCACCATAATTGCATATTACACAACAGTGCCTGTTTAGCCACATGATTTGAGAGGATACTTCCCACGTACGTGGGAAGTATCCTGATAAAATAATTTCCCTAACTTGTTTAGAGCATAATATGTCCAGAAATCATACAGGTTCACATGCAGCAGGGAGGCGTTCTATAATGCAAAGGGCCAGCACAAGTCAGCACTGTAACTATGCTTCACGAATTGCGAGGCCTCAATGTAGGAAGTGCAGAAAAGACAAACTTTCCACGGTGAAAAAGTGACAACTTGAGCGAACGCATGCTTGAGCAAAATTTGATCAAGGAAAATGGCAAGTTATCCGACATGCACAACCCGACCATTTACTTCTGGCCTGTGATGACTGATGTTTATACACAGCACTAGCTGGATGCCTTTCACACTACGTTTAAGCCAAATGATCCTTACGGCTGCCCATGAAATTTCCCACTCTAACGATGTTTCCATTTACCAGAAGCATTGACTGGAAAGAAAGGTGAATATGGCATTTTGTGTGCACACAGTGTGAAAGAAACTGTTGAGCACCAAGCACAACACAAAGAGATTGGCTTGTGAAAGACACCACTTGCTTGTGTCTCCAGTTATTGCAGCGATGTACCTCGATTATGCAGCGATGTACCTTGATTCATTAAAATTTCGTCGAGGGGCATTTTATTCTGACAAAACAGAGCGACCGCTTTTTTTGCAATCCTGGTGCATTCTAGGACTTCAAATGATAAATAGATAAAATGATGTGCCACTTTTTTAATGTCTAAAGAAATTGGATACCGTCCATTGGGAAGCAACTTGCCCACATAAACAACTTTCCATCAAAATCATAACATGTTCATTAACAAGTATTGTTCGTTTATAACGTCGCAACAGTGAGGAATCTCTGTTGCTCTCGAGAGTCTGCAAAAAAGGTGAAGTAAAACAAAAATGGCATGTGTATTGTTTATACAGCTCACGATGGTCTAGTAACCAACAACTTGTCAATGTATGCACCACACGCAAATGTACATAACATAAAATGTCTGGGAAACACCTTACTGCCCAAGAAGCTAAGCAAAAAAATCAAAATAATGTCACTGAGTGTCACCAAGATTGCATTGCAACAACTATTAACAGGGCTGTGGTACATTTGCCGCGTTGCCAAAGGAATTGTCAACAAGGAGTTTTGTACTGTTCTGTGATCGACAAGTCACATGCACACATGTAGACTTCGAAGTCTTTGGGTGGTGAGCAGGGTGTTCGCCATCAAAAGCAGCAAAATCAAGTCGATGCATCACTACGCTCCTATAGCAGAGGGGAGACTGGATGGCATTGTCACCAGCGGTTTTGCACTATCCTGCTGTCAACTAGCCACATGCACAAGTGTAGAGTGAGAAGGCTTCGGGAGGCGAGCCATACATCTGCCTTCAAAATCAGCAACATTAACTCAACGCAGCATCAAGCTCTACTAAATTGATTTTGCCTAAATTTCAGACAAAGACCACTAGTGCACGCCATTTCAAGCTCTGTTGGACAGAAATCCAATTCTTAGCCAAGTACAAAGGTGCATTATGAACTATATATATATTATAGAAATGCATTATAAACTGATTCGGGTAACATTATTACTACTACAAGATTATAAATAGGGGTCTAAAAATATGCAAATATGCTTCTAATAGTGTTTGCCATTCCATTCAATTTGTGCTAGAATTTTATAACTTTCAACGTCCTGTTCGATTAACAGGGTCCCCTTCAGATTTTTAGTATGCTTCCCCCCACCACACTGTCATATTTGGGCAAAACTGCCTTTTAGGCTCTACTGTGGTCGGAAATGTATTGACTCAATTGAACATTGTTCAAACATGAAGATGACAATGGTGGCAGAGAGGGCGACTCTGTTATTGGTGTTTTGGACCTGAAATTAGCATAGGAAGTACAAAAAAATCGGACGTCAAAGATTTTTGGCATTCAAAGTTTTAGATGTTCTTATATTATTGGCATCGAGACCAATTTAGAACTCTGGACTCGGAGGGAGCACACACTCGACCGCCACGTAAGTTGGGCTTCCACAGAAGTTGCACGAGGAGTCGCTGAAGAAATAGCCTCCTTGCCTTTCACGTGTCAAGTGTTAGAGATACTGATTGCACAAAGTCATGCACAGTCACGCTCAATGACTTGCAGCATGGGACTGCATGGCTTCACGAGTCCAAAGACTGCGCATAGCTTCAACTTGTTTTTATTTGAATTAAATATTTCCTTATTTAGAATAATACCAAAGTGAGAAAACCGCTTAAGTAATGGAAATAAGGGCTAGTGGAAGCCACACACAATGTCTGAACTTGAGGCCACACACTTTTATGTTGAAAGTCATATTGAGTGTTGTACATAAATGCAATACATCCTTCTCGTTGCCTCATTCCTTGATAAGACTATGAAACACCACCCCACCAGGACTTCGTCAACCTAGCCAAAATAAACTCTATTTGATATCTGATAAGAATAAGCCTAGGAAGCTTCTCCAACCTTTTTTTCAGCAATTTTGTTTGAAAAAATATTTAAAAATATTTAAGAAATATTCAAAAAGATTATAGTCAATTTGCACTGGCACTTCAAGTTCGAATCCGCTTCACACCAAAATTTTGAAATTCACACAGCTCTGCTCATAAAAACTCTTTGCATATTTTAGCAAACAAACCAATGATGGCATGGCAATCTGCGCCTGTCAGCATTTCCTATAGCAGTATTGAAACATTACAAAAATAAAACGTGGAAAAAAGTGAATGCATTATCACCCCCCCCCCCCCCAAAAAAAAGAGAAGTTCTTGCATTTTCATATGCAGTAAAGTTCATAACAAGCCAAGTACATCGAACCAATGCGCCAGAACTTGCACAGTTTTCCAAAGGAAGAAGAATAAGCCCATAAATAACTTTTTATTTGGTTTAAAATAGCCACAAGTGACAAGCGCAACTGAAACTGCATTGCAGTTCACGTCTGCAATATTAACATTCCAGTAAGCTGGGCTGCATATCATTGTTTGCAAGTATAATGTGATCATGAAACTGAGCTAAAAAAAAAATTCCATTTGCTTCTTACTAAGAGCACACAATAACAATAAATCAACATGTTTTATTTTGCTCCACTGGGTCTCGAAGTACGACAAGGCTCATAAAAGCATCAAATAATAATTTAATGCAGCACACGCTTCACGTATGTACAACATTTCAAAACAAAAGCTATACATAGTTCAACTCCGTTATCCATGCCAGACAGCGGAGAAAGGCAAAGCACATAACATATACTCATACTTGATTATAACCAGGTTGCGTCTTGAAGCAAATACGTAGGTTCTTCATAACCAAAAATTTGTTATAAAGGAATATTCTTAACATTATATTTATAGCAAGGATCTTTTTCATTTGCTTCGTTTTAACTGATATTTCGCTATACCCAGGTTTGTTATATCGATGTTTGAGTTTATCGACATGGTGCTTGGTGAAACATTCCCCTCTTGCCCCATATGCTACTGACTACAATATGTTGACTTTTTGTCAACAGAAGCTGGTAATTTCATTGACAAAAATTCCAAAGGTATTCAAGTGCCTATATAAGAAATGCATATTTTAGTGCCCAAAAACAGTCTTTTTCAAATATATGGAGAATATTTCAGATCACAATAATCACCACCCAAGACGCAACAGTTAAGACAATGTTAATATATGCTGTAGTATTCATTCTTGTCTTTATGTAAATGCAACACTGGCAATAAAGGGCCAAAGGCAATGTCTTGACGAGGATATCGATAACACTTCCAGATATCAGCAGCATAAGAAATGCAGGAAAAGAACCTCTCATTGATCATCACGATCACAAATACAAAGAACATAACAACGTACAATTTTCATAGCCGGTACTATTAATTTAAATAACGACAGCTAATGGCTAAGTAACAGAGAAACATCAGGAGCCCTTGTCATCCCCGTCGCTGCTGCCTCGATTACGAAATCTCTGGAAGAGATTGTAGGTAACGCCGAGCATCAGGCATCCAATCACAGTTCCCTGCGCACTGACACGGAGTTGCATCAAGAAGAGGGAAGGGTCGAGCTTCTTGCGCCTTCGGAACAAGAAGGCACCGTACGTGCAGACGAAGACACAACCGGTAAGACCTGGACACAGAAAAATAAAACAATCGCAGTCAGGTGCAAAAAATACCTGATACAATCTCTGCCAAACATAAAAAGAAAAGTATTAGAAATGAATAATGTGAAAAAAAAAAGCCGCAGGAAAAATTCTATATCGCAACTACCGTAAACTTGAAAAAAAAGAATGTAAAGACTCGACAAAGGAAGGCGACATGAGGACGGGCACTCATTGCCAACTGAAGTTTTTATTGATAAAACCAAGATTATGGGAGGACACAAAAGATTGAAAAATGATAAGATCAAAATTTTTAGTCACATGGGTGACATCAACTAGCCGATTTCTTTTTTAAACACATAAAGTGACAGAGCGCTTGCGCATCGATCACCCCTTTTGTGGACCACAAAAGCCTTGAATATCTCCCGCGCATGCTTTTGACACTAGCGTTCAATAGCGTTCATCTGTTTCAAAAAAAAAAAAAATTGGGTATTTCATAACACGCATGCGACTAAAAATTGTAATCTTATTGTTTTTCATTATTTTGTTTATTGACATATTCTTAGTTGCATCAATAAACACTTCAGTTGGCAGTCAATGACCGTCCTTGCGTCACCTTCCTTCGTCCAGTCTATCGGCTGCTTTTCATTCAAATTGAAAGACCACCTTTTGCCGCTTCTCCTGTAACAACTGATTAGAAAGTACTGGTTGCAGTGTACTCCCTTGTACTTTGTCTCGCTCTACAATCACAGCATCATCAGTGATACGTCTCCTCTCACTTCCTTACCCTGTCTACACTGTTCATCATGGAAGCATTGCGACAGGAAACGCTATTAGTAACAAGTAACAGCGAGATCTGTCCACGCATACTTGTGTAGGGGTGAGACAACGCTATTTTCGGTACGAGTGTCTAGCACCAGGTCCTAACGCAACAAAACATACTGTGTAGGCTGTGGTAAACACATACAACCTATGGGATCCTTCTTCGATTTGCAGTGTAGGGAGCTGCAAATTGAGGCTGCAATGGCTTTAGCTAGAATCGCACACTTTTAATATAGAGGCCCTGCAACACTTTTCTCGGCTATGGTGTAACAGTCTCGCTATTAGCATACAACTTTCCTGGGCACACATGCTGCAAAGGTTTGTAGAATCCCTCAAATACAAGTGGAATTGCAGAGATTTGTCGCATGCTTAAAGCCCTTTCTCCCTTATATACCAGTGAGCCCTTCGAGGGTGAGCTACGTAGGAAGGGGAGAAATGACAAGAGGGCCACAAGGTGGATTCCTTCATCAGTGTGCCGATGACCTTGAGCAGCTCCTGGTCTTTTTTTTTTACCGCGACCACGTGCACAAGGTAACTACGCAGCCCGGGATGCTCACTCATATCAACCGATGGTAGGGGAGTTGAGTATATTGGCATATGACATCATTCGTAGAAAGACAGGAGGGTGCAATTTTCAGCAGACTTTGAGAATTACGCCACCTCCATGACATTTAGCCCGGGTCTTGCTGGGAGACTTTACTACTGATCAGCAGCGTTTACGGACTGTGCTCAGTGTTGCAGGGTCGCTTTAACAAAGAAGGACACTATTACAGCTTTCAAAATATTACAGCCTCGAAAAAAATTTCCTTTAGAGAAAGGAATGATGCTAGTATTGGTGACGGGTGTGCGAGCAGTTGTCTCCAAATATCCAGGCTCTGGGACTAGTGACGCTGAAAATATTGCCATCGTGCCAAAGGCATACTATACTTTGAAGCTGCAAACATGCAATGCTGTGCCTTAAGACACAAGCCAACCAAAGACACAAGAATAGCGTAAGCCAAAGGTGCACAGCGAAGGAACATGCTGAATGGAACATACAACTTACAGCCGAATTTATTTAGTAAGTAGGTGTCTATAGAAATATTTATATTGATCACTGATAGAGCTACAAAGCTCACTTCAGGCTAGTTGTCTGATATGTTGTTATGAGTGCAACAAAGCAAATAATGTTCCTCCAAGTTCTCATTCTCCTGCATGCCTTTCCTGCATGTCTCAATCTCTTGCATGCCCTGCGTGGCGACTCGTTTTGGCTATAATGATGATGATGTTTGATGTTTTGTGGCGCAAGGGCCATTTCACGGCCAAAGAGCGCCAGTTCATCTTACTAAAAATATAGACAATGATTGTGATAAGCGGCTGTATAAGGGCCATAAATTTCCTTGCGGTAAGGCGGGTAAAAACATACAAGAAATGAAATCATGACAAGGCAGTGAAAAGGTGTGTGGGGTGTGAATAGATGACAAAAGTTGGTGATAATAAAAAACGATGATGGACATGTATGGCATTAGCACAAGTGCCTCACTCGTTCATACCCTTGCGTCCAAGGGCCGTGAGACAAGTGCTTTCTTGTGTAGCCACCGCAGCAAAAACCTCTCTGGAGAGGTCTTGCTACGGAATGCCCGGGTGTATGATATGAAAACTATGAATTTCTTTTAAAAACGCTAACAATGATTTATGACTAAAACGCGGTTCCCTACCGACAAACATTGCGGGGTGTAATGGTAAATGTTGTCGGTAGGGTAATGGAAAGTGTCTTCTTAGAGTGTCTAATTGTTTACAATGGATTAAAACGTGAAGAACTGTTAATGCCTGACCACATCTGTCCCAGAATGGTGGATCACCACCGGACAAAAGATATGAGTGTGTCGTGTATGTGTGTACTATCCTGAGCCTTGTTAGTGTTACCTCTGTTAGACGTGATTTTCATACTGGAGGCCACTGGCCAAGGTGTGGCTTGATAACGTGTAGCTTGTTTTGTGCGTGTCTATCCCACTTGCTCTGCCAGTAGTCCCCGAGCTTTTGTTTGAGAGACGACTGAATATCAAGGGGCGGAATCGATATAAGTGTAGTTGCATTGATTTCGTGGACGGATGCAGCAAGCTGATCCGCCATCACGTTGCCTTGGATCTCACGGTGCCCTGGCACCCAGCACACTACAACATGTTGTTTGAGAGTGTAGAGTGTACATAAAATAGAGTAAAGTGAGACAAGGACAGGGTTTCTTTGTTTTGTAAGATTGTGCAGAGCTGTAACCACACTGAGGGAGTCCGTATAAATTACTGCTTTTTGTATTTGTGATTGCTTGATGTGTTTAGCCGCCACAAGTATCGCGTAAGCTTCCGCTGTGAAGATACTTGTGCCTGGATGTGTAGAGGGCCAGCATCCGAAAAGTATGGGCCGACAGCAGCGTAGGACACAGAGGAGTTAGACTTGGAGGCATCTGTAAAGAACTCAGGACGGTGGTGTATTCGTGTTGAAGTTAAAGGAAGTAGTTTCGGATATGGGCAATAGGTGCATGTTTTGCGACTTCTAGGAAAGACACATCGCAATCTATAATCTGCCACTGCCACGGTGGCAGGTACACTACAGGAGCCATTAAACTGCGTTCAAGTGACACTCCTGTTTCCTCAGCTAGACCTTTCAGGCGAACTGAGAAGGGCTGCCTCATCGAAGGCCTGTTTTGAAACAGAATAGAGCTCGACAAATCATTAATAGTGGAGTATGAGGGGTGCTTCTTGTCTGCTTTCACCTTAAGAAAATATACAAAGGATATGCAAGTTCTTTGTAGGTGAAGCGACCATTCATTTGACTCAACGTAAAGGCATTCTACAGGGCTGGTGCGAAAAGCACCCGTAGAAAGGCGGATGCCCAAGTGGTGCACGGAATCCAGCATCTTCAAAGCACTTTGAGTCGCAGACTGATAAACAACGGCCCCATAATCTAAGCGGGTGTAAATGAGGCTTCTATACAGGTTCATGAGACATTGCCTGTCACTACCCCACGTAGTGCGTGACAACACTTTTATAACATTCATGGCTTTTAAACATTTTGTTTTTAAATACTTGATGTGTGGTACGAAGGTCAACTTGTTGTCCAAAATTAAGCCTAAGAATTTATGCCTCGTATTGACAGACGTTGACCGTTCAGTTCAATGTCAGGTTCTGAGTGCACGCCTCTCTTTCAGGAGAACAAGACACACGAGCTTTTTTTCTGGGTTAAGCCGGAATCCGCTTTCCTCTGTCCATTTGCAGACCTTGTTTAACCCTAACTGAACCTGCCGCTCACACATTGCTAGGTTGCATGACTTAAAGCCAAGCTGGACATCATCGACATATGTGTAATAGAACATGTTGCAGGGGATGGAAAGGTGCAAGGAATTTATTTTGATAATAAAAAGTGTACAACTAAGTACACCACCTTGCAGTACTCCTGTTTCTTGCACAAATGTTTGGGAGAAAATACTGCACACACGGACACGGAATTTCCGATTGGACAAGTAACTCTCGATTATGGAAAGCATTCTACCGCGCACACCCATGTGAGACAAGTCTCTTAATATGCCAAAACGCCATGTGTCGTAAGCCTTCTCGATATCAAGAAACACTGAGAGGAAGTATTGTTTGTGGACGAAAGCGTCTCGGATCTGTGCCTCGATATGCACCAGATGGTCGGTGGTGGATCTACCCTCTCGAAACCCACACTGGAACTGGTCAAGCAGATTGTGTATTTCAAGGAAATGTAAAAGTCGGCGGTTTATCATTTTTTCAAAACGTTTACAAAGGCAGATGGTTAGTGCAATGGGCCTATAACTTGAAACTGAGAAAGGGTCCTTGCTCTGTTTCAAAATAGGGATAACAATAGCCTCTTTCCAGGAAGCAGGGATGGTGCCAGAAAGCCAGATAGCATTGTATAGAGAAAGTAAAGTTTTTTGCGTCTTGAGCGGCAGGTTTTTCAACATTTGATACGTGACACGGTCGTAGCCTGGGGCAGAATTACTGCAAGAGCTTAGTGATGTTTGTAGCTCAGCTAAGTTGAAAGGTTGGTTGTATGCCTCGTGATTTGTGCACTTGTATTCTAGCTGCTGCTTTTCTATCCTTGCTTTATATCTTTGGAAAACTTCAGTATAGTGTGACGAGCTAGACACTTGCTCGTAGTGTGCACCGAGGAAGTTCGCCTGATCTTCCAGGCTGTCACCCTGTGTGTTTAC